TCCCTCCCTCCCTTTCTTTCTTCCTTCCTTGCTCCCCTCTTCTCTTCTTTCTCTCTCTTCTCGCTTTCTCTCTTTCCCTTCCTAGCACCCTCTTTCCCTTCCCTTCCCTTCCCTTCCCTTCCCTTCCCTTCCCTTCCCTTCCCTTCCCTTCCCTTCCCTTCCCTTCCCTTCCCTTTCCTTTCCTTTCACCATTGTGTGCCCATTGCCTAAAACACGTTTGTCACTTAGTAGGCACTTAACATGTGATGACTGAAAGAATGAACAATCAAGTGAATTCAGGAACAAAAGCATTTTACTTAATAATTTAGCCTGCTAAAACCCTCTGGACTCCCTAACCCAACCTTGCAGATAAGACCCTTGAGGCTACCAGCCTGATACTATTTTTCCAGCCCATCTTTGATTCTCATGCTAGCTCTGAAGCAGATGGTTCTGAAAGGGCAGGCAATGCTCTCCGGTGAGTTGGCTGGGCTCCTACCTCCAACTTTAGACTTGTCTTCTCTGCAGGAAAGGTGTCTGTCAAGCTCATCCACCTCCAAGAACCAGTGTTCATGCCTTTGCCTTAGGTGGGAACCAACATCCACGTCCAAATTCTTGTAACTCACTCCCAGAACCCTAGAATCCTACAATGGCAAGTGGGCAGCTGCCTGGAAATCTGGAGCAGTGATTTCCCAAACACAACTGCACATCAGAATCCACTTGGGAGCTTGTTTAATACAGATCCTTGGGCCCATCCCCATACATACAGAATCAGGATCTCTGGAAGCAGGGCCTAAGAATCTGCATTCTTATAAACCGCTCTTCATAATCTCTCATAGCTGGCCCATGAGTAGGAATTGGGGACCCACAGTTTTAGGACTTTCGGGGTGATAGACCCTCTTTAGAGTCTGATGAAAGCCTTTGCACCTCTAATGAAAAAAATACACCCAGAATATTGTCACCAGGCACATAAACCAGGCCCAGGGGGGAGCAGCAACTTGCCCAAGGACACAGAAATTCAAGGTCAAAGTCAGTGTTTGGTCGCCCTGCTCCTAGCGCGTGTTCTTCCCCTCCTGGATTCCTGCTGAATCTTCTCCAGATCCCCAGTTGATCAGTTATGGGAGAGGCAGCTGTTTTTCTGATGCTGTTTTTATAATTCAGCAGTAAAGGTGAGGGAAGCATGA